AAAACACAGAAAAATGACACCGATGACGGCGGAATAAGTCAAGAGAGGAGTGAGAGAGGTTATGAACTACACAACAGAGGGAATTCACTACGACAACGAGGAGGAGCTGTTTTTGTTACGACAAAGAGCGCCAGCGTACTTCGACACAAGGGTTGACATTCAGCGGTCAGTGGCAGCAAATGGAGACAGGTCAATGAGAGCACAGCAGCTGCTGTTGCGCTTATATCAAAATGCATACGGGTATGACGACCACACGATGGCATCTTGCTCTGCGAACACCCTTCACCAAGTCGTGGATTGGATGTGCAACGACCATGACATCGACATGACCAAAAGAGATGGAGACGGTTCTTACGACACATCAGCGTTCAAGAAGTTTGTGAGAGAGAAAGTCAAATATTGAAGACAGGGGGTGGTGACGAATTGAAGCCGAATGCAGCGGAGATATTGACACTGAGCAGGATTAACGAGGTGCCTCAAAGAGATCCTATTGACTACCATGAACTGGCAACAATGGTGGTGGACGGTGTCGAGTATGTGCTACCAGACCAGATTGTTGACTTTATAAAGAGTGGAGGCGAGGACAAAAATCTCATTCACGAGGCATTGCATGAGGTGACGGAGGAGGCAATAGCAGCAGCGGAGATTGTCGATGTTGAGTGCGTAAAGGATCGCACACTCGACCTTGTATCGGGGACTCCTGTGTCCCGATGGAACATATTCGAAGCTGTAGAGGAGTTGACCGCGACATCGACGGACATGGACAGGAGGAGGAAGAGAAAGGAAGGATGGTAAATGCTTGTTGCAGAACACGACACCGCAAGGACACACACAACAGACACGACAGTGCAGGACAGAGGTGTCGCACTATCTCTGGCGGATGTCAGGACCGTGTTGAAGAATCCTGCTGCGAATGCAGCGACTGTCCATGGCAGATTCAGAGAGTGGAGATTGGCACCCAGACATCCTTCACGTGACTTCAATGAAGGAGTCGAACAAGCATCTCAGCAGGGAGATGATGTGGTGGTTCCTTGTGACGAGAACGGCGATGCACAAATATGACTGCAACAAGAGAACCCGACATCATGGGAGTCGGAAGTGAGTGGCAATGATATCAGCAGCGACGAGGTGGGCGAGGAATACGATCTTTATTGGGACGTAAAGCGAGGTGGTGGTCAGGGGTCGAAAAGGTGGTGTCATGCAATTTTGAGGTTGGCGCCTGTTTTATCGAAACCGCACCCGTTGATACATGTTGTGGACAAGGTGGCAACACCGGACGGGCGTCTACACTTCGCAGCAATTAAGACAATTATGTCGTGCATGGAAAACGACAAACGTTGGGCTAAGACAACAAAATCATGCTTTGTTCTCATACACAAGGAGGTCATTCTGACGATATTGTTGTCATGGGGTATAAACCTCAGTTGCGTCATACATGAAGCAGTTGTCACTGCATGCGGCGGGACCGTGCGCCCCTCAATGTCAACAGCGACAACAATTATACATGCACAACCAACACTCCATCTCATTGGCACGAAAAACAACAATATCAATGCTGCTATGGACATAGGCCAAATGTCAGAGGAACAATCGAAATAGAGAAAATTATAGGGC